GAGGCTGCTAAGGGGCACAGTGGATAGTTCACTGGGCCTTTCGTCAGGAAGACCTGAGTTCAAATCTGGCCTCAGACACTTAGCTGTGTGATGCTGGGTTAGTTGTTGAACCATGCCTACATCCATTTCCTCAACTGTAAAATGAGAATAATAATAGCACCTACCTCCCAGGGTTGTTGTGAAGATCAAATGAGATATTTGTAAAGCACTTATCAGTGTCTGGAATATAGTTAAGTAAGCTTGATAAATGCTTATTCTCTTCACTTCCCCTTCCAGATCTAATCAAGGATCTTAAATACAGCATTGTACCATGTATACTAGGATACCTCCTTGATGCTAGCTGTGACAAGAGCATGATAAATATTTCAGTGGATTTTCCTAAAGGAGTTAGAGGAATGCATTGTTTACAGCAGCCACGCTCTGCCTGATGGATGTCATTAGTGCATATTTACCCTGTGTGTGAAATGTGGGTACTACGACAGGGTAGAACAGCTTACTGTGGCTCTCTTAACAATCTCCTAAGATATATGTCATCAAAAATAACTGTGGAGGTCAGAAGGATTGAGGAGACTGACCACAGAGGACTGGATGGACCCATCCTGCCATGCTGTCCTCTGGTTAATTGTTCCTCTTAGACAAGTCCCACATGATATTTTGTTTCTAATAAACATTCTTACTAATCAGCAAATGACATTTTATTTTACACCAAGAAGATAAAAACATCATCTTTGCATCAGGGTCAACCTGAAATTTCCCTGTCGTATTACTGCAATTTCCCAGGGCCTTGAAGAAAAGAGGCAGCAAAACCTAAGATCAATCAAATGGTGAATTTAAAATAACTCTTTAAAAAAACCCTTATTTCTCCCTTCAATTATCAGTTTTTAAGATCTAATGGGAATTGTTAGATTGGAGTAAAGTTTGAGTAGGTCTGGTTGTAGGCAAAAAGTTGTAGTTTCTTACTATTTAAAGTATGAAATATTTTAAACAATGAAATAAACTTCTTTCTTCTCATTTTCTCTTCATTGCAAGGGACAGTTCTCTGGGTAGAGGAGGAGAAGGTAAGGCGATGTAAAAACAAAACAAAAGAACAACAAAAAAAAAAACTGGGGGCAGCTAGGTGGCGCAGTGGATAGAGCACTAGCCCTGGAGTCAAAAGGACCTGAGTTCAAATCTGGCCTCAGACACATGACACTTACTAGCTGTGTGACTCTGGGCAAGTCACTTAACCCCAATTGCCTCACAAAAAAAAAATCAATAAAAGTGATAGTAGTGGGGGTTTTAAGAAGCAAGATATAATAAAAAGTATGAATATTGCCTCTGGTACACATGGGTGAGTTTTGTAGGGAAATAAACATTTTCTAAGTCCAGAAGGTTTTTCTTTTTACTGTGTCTTCAATACTGAATGACTACTTGGACAAGATGCCGGGCTAAGGACTTTGAAGGAAAATTACAAGGCATTTTCTTAAAGCCTATAAAAATTCCACACAAGGTATAGCTTAAATACAACATATGTTGTAACTGCTTAGTGGAAAAATGTTGAGGCAGTTTAACCTACAGTTCAATACTTTATTTTAAATATATTCATGTGGTATTTTCATTTACTTACTTACTTATATCAAACAAATGTTTGTTAAGCACCTTTATGTTAACATAAGCGAAGTATTACGTTTCTATTTCCCATCTATGTGCCTTTGCATCTCCATCCATGGAGTATACATTCATCCCTTAGAATCTCTGACTTCCTTTGGCCTATGTGCTACCTCCTACAGGAAGATTTTTCTCATCTGCCTCTCACTCTTCAAATTAACAAGTTTGTGTGTGTATACACACACACATACACATACGTACACATACATATATATTATATATATATATATATACCCATTTATATGTTGTTTCCAAATAGTCAAATGTAATTTCCTTGAGGGCAGGACTCTTTTGATCTTTTTTTTCAATTAAAATTATTTGTTCATTTTATGTTTTTTTAAACTCCTATGTTTGAACTTCAAGATTTCTTTTTATTTCTTGTCTTTTCTTTTTTTCCTTTTTTAAAATTAATTTAGTTTGTTTTATCAACACACTTCCATAAGCTTTTGAGTTTTAAATTTTTCTCCCCCTTCCTCCCCACCACCCTCCTCAAGAAGGTACACAATCTGATATAGATTATATGTATACATTTCTATTAAACATATTTTCACATTAGTGATGTTGTAAGTAAGAATTAGAACTAATAGGAAGACCCATCAGAAAGAGGAAACAAAACACAACAGAAGGAAAAATATAGTAAATAGTATGTTTCGATCTGCATTCAAACTCCATAGTTCTTTCTTTGGATGTAGATAGCATTTTTCATCATGAGGCTTTTGGAGATATCTTAGATCCTTGTATTGCTGAGAAGGGTTAAGTCTGTCAATATTAGTCATCGCACAACCTGGCTGTTACTGTGTACAATGCTCTCCTGGTTCTGGTCACTTCACTCAGCATCAAACCATACAAGTCTTTCCAGGTTTTTCTGAAGTCTGCCTGTTCATCATTTCTTATAGCACAATAGTATTCCGTTACATTCATATATCACATTCACAGTTATGATTACTATCTGTGTCTTTCTCTCCATCTTTTTCCCCCCTGTTTATGCTTTTCTTTCTCCTTTCTCTTTTTCCCTCCTCACTTATGTTTTGCTTTTGACCACCGCCTTCCTCAGTCTCACCTCCCTTCTGTTAGCCCCCTCCCTTTTCTTCCCCTTTACCCTCACTACTTCTTTCCTCCCTTCTATCCCTCCTCCCTTTTCTTTCCCCTTTTCCCTCCAACTGTCTATAGGGCATGTTAGATTTCTATACCTAACTGATTATGTTATTCCCTTCTTGAGCCAAATCTAATGAGAGTAAGGTTCAAACAATGCTCATCTCCCTCCCTTCTTTCTCCCTCTGCTATAATAGGTTTTTGTGCCTTTTCCTGTGATGTAGTTTACCCTTGTCTGCTTCCTCCTTTCCTTTTTTCTCGGTACCATTATCTTAGATCAGATTAATCCACTTACTTGGATCCATTTAACCCACTTGATTAGATTTTTTCATCATTACATCAAAGTCAATTTATACCCACCCCCTTTATGTATACCCCTTTAACATGGCGTAATAACAATACAGTTCTCAAGAGTTACAAGTTTCATCTTCCCTTGCAGAGATGTAAACAGTTTGCCCTTATTAATAACATGTTGTTTCTTTCTGTCCCATTTATCTTTTTTTGTCTCTCTTGAGTCTTATATTTGAAAATAAAATTGTCTGTTGAGCTCTGATCTTTTTATCAGAAAGGTATGGAAGTCCCCTATTTCTTTGAATATCCATATCCTCCCCTGAAAGATCATGCTCATTTTCTCTCGGTAGTTGATCTTTGGTTGTAATCCAAGCTCCTTTGCCTTACGGAATATCATATTCCACACCCTAAGATCTTTTAATGTAGAAACTGTAAGGTCCTGTGTAGTTCTGACTGTGGTTCCATGATATTTAAATTGTTTGTTTCTGGCTGCTTGAGGTATTTTCTCTTTGACCTGGTAACTTTGGAATTTGGCTATTATATTCCTTGGTGTTTTCAATTTGGGATCTTTTTCAGGAGGTGATCCATGTATTCTTTCTGTGGCTATTTTACCCTCTGGTTCTAGGACCTCAGAGCAGTTTTCCTTTATGATTTCCTGAAAGATACTGTCCAGGCTTTTTTTTTCATAGTGATTTTCAGGTAGACCAATAATTTTTAAATTGTCTCTCCTGGATCAATTTTCCAGGTCAGTTGTTTTACCCATGAGGTATTTTACATTTTCATCTATTTTTTCATTCTTTTGTTTCTGTTTGACTGATTCTTGCTCTCTCATAGAGTCATTAGCTTCCATTTGCCCAATTCTAATTTTTAACAAATTGTTTTCTTCTATTAGATTTTGTACCTCCTTCCCCATTTGGCCAACTGTATTTCTTAAGGACTTGTTTTCTTCAGTGTACTTTTTTTCCAGTTGGCCAATTGTATTTTTTAAGGACTTATTTTCTACAGTTAATTTTTGTCCTTCCTTTTCCAAGCTATTGACTCTCTCTTGCATACCTCTCATTTCTTTTCCCATTTTTTCTTCTACCTCTCTCATTTGACTTTTAAAATCCTTCCTGAGCTCATCCAAGAAGGCTTTTTGGGCTTCAGACTAGTTCATATTCCCTTTTGAGGTTCCAGGTGTGGGTTTCTTGACAGTGTTGTCCTCTTCAGAATTTCTGCCTTGATCTTCACTCTTCCCATAATAAGAGTCTATTGTACGTTTCTTTTTGCTCATGGTGTTTGCCTATTTCTTGGCCTTTAAAGAGATTGAGCTCTCCTGCTGGGGAGCAGAGGACACTGACCCAAGCTTCTTGTATTGAGAGCCTACAGTCTGGTCACTGGCTTTGTGTGCTGGGGCCCCCGATGCAGGCAGTTGGAGGCTGTAGGGTTCTGGCAGCTCACCTGGTGTTGGGCTGGAATCAGCAACACTGGAACTCTAGGGGTAGGATTGGGTAGTATGGCTCCTGGAGATTTCCTGCTCACCCAGGCCTTTCCTTCCTTTTGCTTTCCTCAGCTCTTTTCAGATGGATGTTGTAGGGTGTTTATCCACCTGGCGCCCCTTGGAGCCTGCTTCCCTTAGTTTTGCTGAGGCACTGGGAGATCCGGTTGCTGTAGAATGCCCAGGTATCTGGTGGTTTTCCAAGCTGGTTTCCACTGATTCCCTTGCCCTCATTGAGGCACTTGGGAATCCAGGTGTTGGTATTTGCCTGCTCCACCACCTGGGCTTCAGGATTTCCTCCTAGTATACTGAGGTGGGGCTTTCCACTAGCTTGCTGGGACACCTCCCGTTTTGTACTGCTCCCTTTTCCCCAGAGTAAAAGGGGCCTTTCCTGTTAATCCCTCAAGCTACCTGGGCTACTGGACTGCTGCATCCCATCTTTCTTCTGGTTCAGCTATTCCAGGGTTTTTCCTGGGTGATATTTTCTGGGCTTTCAGAGGTTAATAAGGGAGGGTAAAAGCGACTCACCTCTTACTCCGCCATCTTGGCTCCTTGTTGTTTCTTTATATCCCCGGCACCTAACCTACATCCTTTGACATAGTAGATGCTTAATAAATATTTATTGAACTGGATTGGATTTTATTTCCCATTGTGGGGAATATAAAGGCAAATAAAGCAGCACAAATCCCTTCCTGTGAGATTTCATTTTAGTGAGGAGATAACATTTTAATGTCTTCAATATTTCAGGAGATCTGAGTTATCATTGATATTGATATTGATATCAATATTCCCTTAACCAATGGAGATTGAAAATCCTCCTCTTTAGAAAATGGTCTTCAAGGGTTACTGTGGCCAAAAAAGTTAATCACCTAGTAGTCAACCTTTTTTTGGTTACTACAGGATGATGGAAAGAGCACTAGATTTGAAGTCAGAAGACCTGGACTCAAATCAGGTTTAGCCTCTTTCTATTTGTGTGACCCGTAGCACGTCATTCAAACTGTTTCAGCATTCACTTCCTCATCTGTAAAGTGAAAGACCTCTGAGGTCCCTTCTAGCTCTATATGAATGATCCCACTATGACTAAACTGAATTAAATTGAATTGAATTGAATGATTTCTCTAGTCTAGAGGAAGCTAGAATGGTCCTCAGACAACAAGACTTTAGCAGGCTTGTATATAATCAAAATCTTTTTCAGCTTGATGTGGTCTAGCAGAATTTGCACTACCCTGGTATGGACCAAGGCTCACCTCCAGGTCACAATGAAGCATCAGAGGGAAGCTTTTATGTAAGTAGGGAGATCATAAAATGGTTATCATAGCCCACAGTCATGTACTTTGCTTACAGAATTCTGTAAGACAGACTAGTTGCATCATCCCCATTTCATAAATGACAAAACTAGGACTGGACCAGAAAACTTCCATGACTTACCCATGGTCTCACAGCTAGCCGATGAACATAACAGAATCCAAAATTCAAGTCTTTTGTTTCTCAAGTCTAGTGCTCTTTCTGAAACACCATGCCACAAGTGCACGAATAACCGTAACACAAAATAGAATATGATAAGAACAACATAGAGAAGCTGTGTGGTGTAGAGGATAAGGGACTGACTTTGAAGTCAAGCAGACCTGGGTTCAAGTTCTGCCACTGACAAGAACTAGCAGGGTTAAAGAATGTGTGACCAGGGGCAAGTCATTTAACCTCTCAGTGTCCTCAGACAAAGGTCTGAGGTCTAAAGCAGAAAGGGACATTGGAGGCCATCTAGACCAATTGACTCACTGTCTTAAGTATAAGTTACAGATGAGTTGCTGATCCGTATCAGTAGAGGGCGTTTTCAAACCTGGAGTACCTTGGAGTGTTCCACATCAAATAAAGCACAGCTCCTGAAAGAAAGAAAGAAAGAAAGAAAGAAAGAAAGAAAGAAAGAAAGAA